AAACACAAAAGCAGACACAACTTTGGACCTATGCAAGTCATAAAAGTAAGTTTAATTAATGTAAAACATTTTTAAGATGCAGTTTTTGTTTTTCTTTCCAGATATTAAGTTAGGAATATCTAAAATAAGGAAAAATTTTAATTTAAGAAATCTTAAAGTCTAATGTTTCTTAACTGCTATCAGTTAAGTCTCATATATGCTATAAAGAAGAATAATCTTTGTCATTCAGAAGCTAAGTTGTTTATTGATAATTTTTCCTATGGTTTGTTTTCACATCTATTTCAAATTTTCATTTTTATTCTCCTTGTAAGTATTCTTTCAGATATACCAAGAAAAATCTGGACAAATCAAGATAAAGGATAGGAAATTACTGGGAAACTTTTTTCTCTTGATGTATTTTCCGTTAATATATGCATATTCTCATTTTGTTTGTTTTTTAGCGTCTTGGTGTGTATTTTCTACCAATTATCTATTTTTTTCCTACCTATTATCTATTTTTTCCTACCTATTATCTAACTATTTTTACTTCTTAGTAAATTATGATTTCTTCTAGAACAAAAGTGTAATCTTATTTACTTCTACTAGATCCCATCTGTCATTTATTCTCTTTATGAAGTGTAGCAAACCCATGGGAAATTATCTGTTGCAATATTGTGTTAAGTAAGCCTATTATAATGTAAATATATTGTTTTAGCCTATGACAATATTTTGCATAAAAAGTAAAAGAGGTATTATAATGTTGAAAGAAACACTGATTACAAACCTCTATAAATGAATCTGATGGATATCGATGACAACCCTGTTTTTGACCTACCAAATACCTAGTCCCTTCTAATATTAGAAGCTAAGGAAATCTGGGAGGTAATCAAAGTATTGTATCAGGGTTCTCCCACTTCCGTTTTAGGTATGAGCCGTGTAGCTGCTTAAGTTCTATCTGTCCTCCTTTGATAGTTTAAAATTATTTTGTTTCATTCTTGCTTCCTTCTATCAAAATTTCTATTTCTTCGGTTAATGGAAATATTTAATATAGTAGGGATATTCTGTTTGGTGTAATTTATCATACATGATTAATGACTATGGCATTGAGGTGATTGTGGTGGTGGTCATGGTGGTGATGAGGGAAAAGATGGGAATCTCTACAAGGTAGATTCTGATGGACACTAAAGTTTGAGAGCCACTTACATTGGTAAATAATCTTTGGAGTCACCTAGGTCCTTATTCAGTATTATCTAAAGCTGAGCATCACCCTGAATAGACTCTCATTTAATGGATCTAAGGTGGGGCTCTAGCTTGTGTATTTTGAAAATGATCCCTATGTGATTGTGATGTACATCTTCATAGAGACTGGCACCAGCAAGCCAACTATCTTCTTTTTTTTTTTTTCAGGATAGCATATGTTTTTATCAGAGCATTTTCACTGCACAATAGGAAAAAAAGAAACTGGCCCTGCTCCAAAAGGGTCTTATATTTCACTATTTCATCATCAACTATTTTCTTTATTAGATTTCAACCTTACCTATCACTGTTTTTCCCTCAAGTGTTTCTTCATTTAAACTTCGAAGGAGAAACCTTAAATAAGACTTGGGTTTTAATTTTCCATGATCGCTTTTTCCTGTTACTTAGCTTCAGCAATGGACCAGTTGTTTAAAGGTTTGGCCAAATATATTTCTACTGCAAACTGCACTTCTAATTTGAGTGATAAACAGCCCCTACTCACTTTCATTATTTGTATTATACATTGTTTATCCCCACCAAAGAAGTAACTCAGCTCTGTTTAGGAGTGGCTTCCTCCATTCCATAGCTCAGCTATACCAAATTCTTTATCTCTAAGCAAAAGAAAATCTCTTCAAAAGAAAATATGAAGTGTTGCACATACAATGGCCAATTGCTTGTAAGAATGATTTATTAGCCCATTTAGACCACTTCTCCCATTCTTTGTCCATTAGTCAATTATTGATTGAGTGCCCACTGTGTGTCAGACACTATAGTGGTGTATACAGATAAATGAGACAATATTTGAATCGTTAAAAAGCTTATAACCTATTGGAGGAGAGGCTGCATTCAGAAGCACATTAGGATGTATTAATAGTAAGTGTGGGCTCCTGTAATAGAGGTAACTTTTACCTAATTTATAAGTGTATAACTTATGTTTAATTTTTTTTTTTAAGACAAAGTCTCTGTTGCATGGGCTAGAGTGCAGTGGCATCATCAGAGGTCACTGCAACCTCAAACTCCTGGGCTAAAGTAATCCTCCTGCCTCAGCCTCCCCAGTAGCTGGGACTACAGGCTCACACCACCAGCTAAATTTCCTATTTTTTTGTAGAGACGGGGGTCTCACCCTTGCTCAGGCTGGTCTCGAACTCCTGGCATCAAGCAGTCCTCTGACCTACGTCTCCCAAAGTGCTAGGATTACAGGTGTGAGCCACAGCACCCAGCCTACATTTAATTTTTAAAAATTCAATCTCTGGTTTCAGCTTTTTAAACATGACCCAAATCTACTTGTAATAAATAAAACATATTTATTACTAAATATTTTAATTTAAATATTAAGATAAATTAATGTTAATATTTGGAATAATAGTTTAAAAACAGAAATAAGAGAATCATTACAAAATGGTTATACTTGGCAAATAAACTTATTAAAAATGTTTAATCTCAGTAATAATAAGGAACACAAGTGAGAGGACATTTTATATAAATTAGATTGTTGAGGATGATATGGAGTACTAGAAACTTCATGCCATGATGGTGACAGTATAAATTCAGAACAGCTGTTTTGGAAAAGATTCTGGAAATATCAAGAAATTCCCTTTGAATTTTCAATTACACTCCTAGATAAAAGCCCTAGAGAAACTTTTGCACATGTACAAGGATATTCATTGCAAGCTTCTTAACAAGAGCAAAAAGTTAGAAACCACCTAAATGTCCTTTGGCAGGAAAATGAAGAAATCATGTTAATCCATATAATATAATACCGTATGTATAGCTACATTTATCAACATAGATAATCTTAAAAGCACATTGTAGGAATAAATGTGCAGTGTGATATCATTTGTATAAAATATAAAAGCAGGACAAACAAGAGAATATACATTGTTTAGAGACATGTTCAGATGTAAAAATTTAAACAAATCCATAAAGAAGATAAAAAAAAGACAAGAGAGTGGTTACCTTGGAGGAGAGAGGAAGAATAAGATTGGGGAGGAATATATATGAGGTTTCAATTATATCTGAAAGATACAGTTGTACAATTTCATAAATTTGGATGGTCAGTAAATAAACATTTATTTTCTATGCTTTTCTGTATACTTGAAATATTTAATAATAAAAGTATTCCTTTACAATGTAAGAAATTGCTTATTACCTGTAGGAATAGCTCTTGAATATTGGAAATTTAGTCAGGAGATACTTTTGAGGTTCCACTAGAGCTCAGCATGGCTTACTGTCAGGTTGATAACTCTCTTTGTCATTCTCTTTCACATTAATTTCACCTTAATATTAGAGTTTGGGGCTTGAATTCCACAAGATTAGCAATACCTGGCTAGTTAATCTCCTTTCTTTCATCAATTTCCTCTAAAATTTAAATGAAATAAGTTAAATAGGAAATAAAGTTGCCAATTTATAGTATAAGGTTCTTGTCATTAACTTTCTTTAGAAAGTTAAATTTCATTCATAAACACCTTGTAATGAGGGTTATGTTGCTATAGTTATTATGCTCATGCTTGTACTATTTATGTTGATAGTATAGCCTCTTAAATAAATCATAAGGCTGCCTTCATAGAGATTCTGATATATAAATGAAATGTTGAGATAATGAGTCCCACTCCATTAAGTGGCAAAATTCTAAAAAGTCATTTTTGAAGGGTATTTTTTAATAATCTTTCCCTTTTTATCCCAGGCTTGCTTAATAGTTCATAGTTGAATCTTAATTGGCTCAGGGTTGTCATCAATGTAATCACTGATTTTTGTAGAGTAGCAGCTCTCAGAAGCTAGAGAGGGCAGTATAAGAATTGTTTGCCCATCTGGCTGCTCTCAAACCGAGACTGCGAAATCTTCCTATTAGGTGTCACATTGTTTACATGGTAATAGGCCTGCTTCTTCGACCTTTTTTTGCAACAGTCCCTAACCTTTTTGGCACCAGGGACCGATTTCATGGAAGACAATTTTTCCATGGATGGGGGGGGGAGCTCTGCAGCCTGGAGGTTGGGGATCACAGACTTAGTGCATCTAATAGTCTGTGGGCTAAAACCAGCTGCTTAGAATCAATGTATAAAATTAATCAAACCTTGTGTAAAAACTGTTTATTCATGGTTCTATGTTTGAACTTCTGTGATATCTAATTTTGCTAAGTTTTAAAAAATTAGCTTTTTTTCCTAGATATTTGAGTGGTTACAAATAAGTAAGATGTTACTGTTAGCTAAAATATGCCTTTGAAAGAAATAGCACTGGTCTAATTTATTTCAAGACTAGCATATCTATTCAGAATGGTTGTAATAATACAGGACACTTGGTAGAATGAGCTATTTTCCTCAGAACCTATTTCAAGAAAAAAATTTTTTAATTGTGTACAATAAAATTTGAATCAAAAATGGTTACCAGGACTTTTCTTTGGCATTAGATATTCCATGAAGGTTTCTATACATTTTTTTAATTTTTCATTGTGAAAGATTCTTAAGACACAGAAAAAAGTATGAAGAATACTGCTATTAGCTTAAGAAACAAACATTATTAATTCAAGAGCAGCCTTCTATATAGTCTTCCTTGATTGTATCCAGTTCTATACACCTTTAAACTTATACCTTTTTTCTTTTTTTTTTTTCTTTTTGTTGACTCTATTAAAATTTATAGTAAATTAGGTAAACAGTTATATTAGGTAACTTTCATTATAATGAAATGATATACCCCAAAAGGCCATAAACACTATTTTATGCATATTATCTGTATTATAAATTATTAAATTGTGATTTATAATAGCAGTATTTCTTTATTTTAACATATAGTTCCTATGCCTTTGCATATGTCAACTTGGATTATAATGAAGAACATTGTTGCTAAAAATGGATTTTCTGGATTATTTACAGGTAAAAATACTTGCTATACTAAATTATTAATAGAATGATTACTTTTCTCCTAAATACCATATTTTTGTGTTAAGTTAAAAGAAATGTTAAATAACAGATTATATCAACAAGATAAAAATTTCTATATAATATAATGGAATTGAAGTGAAGAATTTGGGAGTGAGTAGTTTGACCTGTCCTTTGCTACTAATTTATGGTGCAGAATTTGATGTATAACTTCATTTAATTTGATCATTATCAGAGTGAAGCCAAATAAATTATATTTTTAAAAATAAGATAAAATTTGTTCTGATTTTTTTCTATTCTTTTTTCAGGCATAATTCCTCGTGTAATTAAAATTGCTCCTGCTTGTGCCATTATGATCAGTACATATGAATTTGGAAAGGCTTTTTTCCAGAAACAAAATGTTCAAAGGCAGCAATACTAGTAATGCTGTTTCAACTTGAAATAACAACTATAGCCAAATAAGGTGGAGGCATTTAAGCAAGAACTTTGTTCACCATTATTTTCTTAAAATGATTTTATGTCTTTCTTTCCTATAATTTAAATAAATTATTTCTACTCTACCTCTAAATCATAATCCTAATTTTAAAGTAAATTTTATCCTATTTTTGGAGATAATGAAAAAGATATTCAAGAAATCACAACCATTGAGCATTCTTATAAGAAAACATGCAAAATTATTTGTTAGCACTGAAAGCAGTTTCTGAGAGTTTAATATTGTATGTTTCAGTGTAAATTAATCTTATTGAGAATGTGTCAGATATATCAGAACTTTTTGAATTGTATGCTGAATGATGCACAGAGTCTAGAGGAAAAAAGCCTAAGTCTTTTTTTTTTTTTTTTTGAGACAGAGTCTTACTCTGTTGCCCAGGCTAGAGGGCTGTGGCATCAGCCTAGCTCACAGCAACCTCAAACTCCTGGGTTCAAGCAATTCTGCTGCCTCAGCCTCCAGAGTAGCTGGGACTACAGGCATGCACCACCAGGCCTGGCTAATTTTTCCTACATATTTTTAGTTGTCCCGCTAATTTCTTTCTATTTTTAGTAGAGACGGGATCCCAGTCTTGCTCAGGCTGGTCTCAAACTCCTGAGCTCAAAGTGTCCTCCCACCTTGGCCTCCTAGAGTGCTAGGATGAGAGGTGTGAGCCACAGTGCCTGGCCAAAAAAAAAACCTAAGTCTTATGCACATTTAAATCATGTACACAGGTATTTCAGTAAAATAGTCAATAGAAGGCAGTCATTATATAGCATTATTCACATTTACAAAACATCTGTTAATCTGTTATTTTCTTTAATTCAGATGAAGTAGGTTTTTTCCCCCACATAGCTGTTTTAAGACCTCACATATATTAGGATTTCTCAGATTAAAGGTGTGGCTATTTTATCTTTATGAACCAAAATGTAATCATTTACATTGTGTATTCTGCCGTTTTTGATGACAAAATACCTTATATTTCTACTGTTTCTGCAAGAGAGGGAATTTTTTTCTACTTATAGTAGCAAAATGTTCACATTAGTCAAGCTTGGGCGTGCAATGGAAAAACCACATTGTATTTAAATTCGTAAAAATAAAGTTTGAGCATAGGAGTGGCCTGTGGTTTTCAGCCATTTTATAAACCAAGTATCATGGATTGTGGAGTTCTCTAGGTCATTTCTGTTGCCTTGTTCTTCTAACAAGGTAGGGATCATTATTACGATAAAAGTCACAAAATACTTCCTGTCCCTTGATTTTATGCTATTTCACATTAGGATGCTAGACCAAGAGACTAAACAAGAAGCTGTTCTCTTGAAGAAACTGCTTTCAGTCACTGTTCATGATTAAATAATTTAGCATATGACTGTATATGGGAATGATATAAAAAAATGGCAGGGTAAGAAATGGTAATTTTTTTATACTTTTGTTAGATTTTCTCAGGTTCTATATCCGATAAGAAAGAGCACTTTATTGCCATCTGTGTGTATTTTATGAAAATGTGAAGCATTTTTTCTCCCCTAAAATGGAGTAATATATTTAGGTGCCAGATCTTCTCTAGTATCAGTAGAGAAATTAATACATTTTGTATTATAGTAGAAAAGTGTTTATGTTTCATAAGAAATAAACTATATAGAGTTTGTATGTAACCTTTTGTGTTTTATTTTATCCTATGTTGATTTACCTTAAATTTGCAACATACATATCCATGTAAGTATAAACTATTCACGACTGGTGTCTTCATTAAAATATTGTATACCTTCTTAAAATTATCACTGTGCTTCTAAATATTTTAATATAAAATCATTATGTAGTATACTATATATGTGTATGACAGTTTATCTTGCACACTTGTTTAACAGTATTAAATTTAAATTTTACTTTGGTTGTGCTATGCTTATTGATAATTGGGTAGAAAAAGGCAGGGAACTTAGTAATATGCTCTCAAAAAATAGTCAGTTATTTCAACATAATATAACCTATGAATATGAGAAAAATTTCCTTCTCTCCCCCAGTACTGCACTTGAAGAAGATTCTTATTTATGAATAAGTTAAATAATCTAATTACCTATTAGTTTTTCTCACACATTTTTTTTACTAACATGCAATAGTATCTGAGGGAAAGAAAACTTAATTGAAGCTTTCTCTATACTTAAGTGGTTAAGAAGCACTAATAGTTTTAAAATACATTAGCAGCCAAAATTGTGAGAAATTATTTTAGCATTTTGCCATAATAACTACTTCAAACTACTTCATTTTTGTATTGAAAGAATACTTGGATAAACTTTACTTGATGGAATAGCTGAAATACTAAAATTTTAAATTTCTCCCAAAGTTCTGTCTTGTACAATAATGGAACTACAATTGATAGGAATATACCAAA